GAATTAATAACTCTGAGTAATAATAAAACTGTACCATAAAGCTATAACATTTTATTACCGGTAGTAATCTTAGAAGTTCTTGGAGTACGTGTGCTCAGTGTGTATGCCACAACACAATTATAGACAGTAGTATTCTTATTTATATAAAAGTCAAATGGAAAAAAAAATATCAATATGTCTATAAATACTGTAGAATACTTTATTTTCGCTTGGAATTTATTTTCGCTGAAGGGATGATTCCGTGAAAATAAAATCCAGCGAATATACTTTTTTCCCATATTTCACATTAAACTCATCAAAAATCAGTGAAAATAAGTTCCACACAAAACGCCCAAAAAGCTATTTCAGCGAAAATTAATTCCACCGAAAATAAAGTATTCCACAGTATTTGTAATCAATGTAAATTTTAATATTCTTTATATATACAATAATTATGACCATATTGCACTTGATACAGGTAACAGCTTTGCTTCATTTAAAAACCACAATTTTTTTCCCACCATCAACTTGCACATTTTCTGTGATTTTGATTTATTTGTTAATTGTATACCAAATGGACATAACTGCCTACAGACCCAGATCAAAACTATTGAAACAAATTTGGAAAGGTTTAGATTTATTTTGTGAAAATTGAGTATGTTGTTCAAAGGATGAAAAGATGAATACTGTAATCTACATTTTGTTCAGACTATGTTAATTGAGTAGGGAATGACTTTCAACTGAGAAAAATAAATTGAAATGTTTTTGTGTATATTTAACCTTTTCATCACCAGTTCCATTTTTTCATCACAAAATAGTACCGTTATAGTCTGCACTTTCCTTCAAAAGATTGGTACACACAAAAAAAAATGTACAAAACATTTTTTTTCGAATAAAAACTGAAAATTAACTCAAATTTCATCTATTTGCTCTAAAATCAGGGTTCATTTCCAAAAATATTGAAAAATATAAGAAAATTGTGGAACAATTTGAGCTACAAAGTTGGTGGTGGAAAGGTCAATAGTTTTGGGAGGATGTGTAGTCGTTGTTGTCCTCCATTTTTTTCCCCCATGTACTCTTCACTGGTCGGAAGGCCATTCATAGAACTTTGGTACAAAGTCATAGTACTCTGTCTGGTAAACATGACTACGAACAAATTCTTCCTTGTCTTCAGGTTCTGGTTGTTTTGCCGCCAAGCCTTTGCGATAGGCGTATTCCACAACCTTTGTTGCTATCCGCAGTGATACTGATTTGATTGTTGAAAGTGGTGGATAAAGTCTACCTTCGGACAAATGAGCATCTGTCACCTGATCTGCCAATTCCTACATGGAAAAGTCACAAAAAATAGAAATGAAAACGTCTGCTCCAGGCTTCTGTGCAAACAGTGATACTTTATTTATAAAAAAAAAATCACAATTTTGACCTGAGAGGGCGCTGTTTCAAAACAAAAGTTGACTCTTGGTGGTGCTGTTTATGATAAGTGATATCCAACTCACCTTTGCAGCAATCAGAAACGCATGGTCATCAACTCTTTTCATTCCGCTGGCAACTATTCCCAGGGCCACACCCGGAAATATGTAGGAATTGTTTCCCTGTGCTGGATATAGTGTTTTACCACTTGGTAAGGTAACTGGCTGAAAAGGACTGCCGCTTGCAAACATACACTCGCTCTGTTTTGATGGAAAATAAAAAAAAATTGGTAAGAGAAGAGAAAAGTGGCAGCAGATGTGTTTTTATGAATGCTGTAGGTCAAATAGGCGAAAAGGATAACTTTTTTATATTTTTGGACATGTTCAAAGGAATTTATTTGATGATGCGTCTTAATAAATCTATATTTATTTGAAAATGGAACAGAATAGGAAGCTCTGTGCAGCTTATAGAGACCTTGTTGATTACAAATATTATGGTGAGGTCTGGAACCAACATAAAACATGTGAAAACCTATATTTTTTATTGTACTGTCATGGTTTTAGTATGTTTAATTGAAAACATTAAGTGTGAACTTACCCCTGGCACATCTGAGTATGCATATGCTTGCTCTGCGGTACATTCCGCCATACTAGTAGGGTTACTTAAAGCAAATATTATGGGATGGTCATTGATTGTTGACATGTATTTAATGATTTCATCCGTGAATGCACCTTTAGCTGCAGATACACCTACATTAAGAAATAAAAAGTTACATTTTTTAAACAAATGTTCTTAATCAATTCAACTTTCTGTTATATGTGTTTTAGTTATAAATCTGCAAGTAATGTCAAATCCTTTAGATCAAACAGCACTAACACCAAAGTCAAAAACCAAGACATTGAAAGTGGGAAATAATTTTATTAATTTTAACTTTCTTCTTTCAAGAGAGTCTTCAATTTAAAAGAAATATTGTAAGTTTCTCTTTTAATATCTTACCAATAATGGCTGTGGGTTTGACTGTTTTAATTGTGTCTGCAAGGTTTGCTATTGGATTGTGAGCCTGAGCAAACCGTGATCTCTGTTTATTCAGCTCACTAGCTGGTCTATCCTGTTAACAAAAAGAAAAAAAAATATCCAGACAGAAGACCAAGCAAGAGTTCAACCCTAATTACCCACGAATGCTAATAACAGTTTGTGCAAACTTGCATAAATGTACTGTGAAATACTTTATTTTTGCTGGAATTAATTTTCACTGAAAAGACTTTTTGGTTGTTTTGTATGGAATTTATTTTTACTGATTTTTGTTGAGTTTAATGTGATACGTATATAGGAAAAAAAGTATATTCACTGGATTTTATTTTCACGGAATAATCCCTTCAGCGAAAATAAAGTATTTTACAGTACACTGTGACCACCAAATACATTCAAACTCACCAATGTCATACATGAATACTGTAAATGTATTAATTATTCATTGGGTTATATTTTCGTTAAGAAGTAAAATCTGCTAAATCAAATTTGTGTGAACATATAAAATAGTTTTGCTTGAAAATTTGCAAAATTAAAACCCAGTAAATATGATTTTACAGTATCACACTAGTTACCAGTTGTACCTGCATGCACTATTGGTGTACTGTAAAATAATTTATTTTAGCTGGAATTAATTTTTGCTGTAAAGACATTTTGGGTGTTTTGTATGGAATTTATTTTCACTGATTTTTGACGAGTTGAATGTAAAATATAGAAAAAAAGGTTATTTCGTTGGATTTTATTTTCACTGAATCATTCCTTCAGCAAAAATAGAAAAAATTAATTCCAAGCGAAAATAAAGTATTCTACAGTATACCAATCACTATAGTGATCTAAGCCTATCAATGCATCGAATATGCATACAGGTCAGAATAACGTTAACCCACCGATGTTGAATTAAACCATGATCTGCAAGCTATGACGTCACACTCACAATCTTCATATTCAGCCTAAAAGATTTGGTGGTTATTATTCAGATTGATATGTCATGAAATTAATTATACTAATCTGTCTGTTGGTTAAGGTATATATATATCACAGCGCCCTCTAGTGGTAATAGTTTGCAATGTTTGTGTTGCAATCTTCAAAGATGTCAGCATTTTAAAGTTTTAGAAAAATAGGTTAATTGTTTAATTTGTTGAAGGCTATTTCTACACAGGCATTACACTACGTAGCGTCGTCTAGGGGTGTATGCGGAACACCTCCCATTGATTATTATGATCACCAATAGAAATGATAAAATCAGTTGGTATGGCAACAAATCCTGAAATATTGGAGCACTGAAGCTAGTCTGCACTTGACAGAAACAAGACTATGTTGTCTAATCACCAAATTACTCAATGCCATTTACATGTGAGCATTTTGATCTTTGCATGGTTCCCTTTATTTAAGGAAGATTTCTAAATTCAATTTCAGGATTCTGTTGGATGAGATTTAACTTAACTATAAAAACATGCAAATTTGTGTTTGATTTATCATGGAAATGCGTCATAATGCTTGACTGTGTTCCATAAGAGGGAATGCAACTTTAAATACAAATTAGGGAGCATGTACCACTTAGTTTGACGAAAATTCAGAAGAGTGCAGTCACAATAGTAAACAGCTGCAAATATAACTCAAGAATTGCATTACATACAATGACCTTAAATCACCGTGTTTTCATAGCCAACTCACCATGACAACTAAACCTGTTCGGTCCACCAACCAGATTGTCTTCACAGCCTCCTCTTCAGTCAAACCATCTTCCATCATTGCCATGACGATGAGACTGGCTATACCAATTGCTGCCTATATAAACGCATTGGATTATGAATAAATTTATCGTTTTAGGAAATTTCTTTATTTTGATCTTAGTTGTTATTTATATACTACTGTAAAATGACTAATATTCACTGGGTTTAAATTTCACTGATTTACCATTTCAGGCATATTCAGTGGGTTTTAAATTCACGGTTTCGTCATTTAGATAATGTGTTCTATGCTAAATTTTACATATTCACTGTGTTTTAATTTAGCGCATTTTTCCAGTCAGCGAAATAAGCTAAATTAAAACCCAGTGAATAATTACCCCCTTTACAGTATGCATGAAAATTATAGCAATATGTGTCTTTAAAACTACTGGTATATAACTGGCTTATTACCAATGTGATACTAGTAATTGGTTGGTATTGAATTGTGACAATAAAATTTGTTACATGTATCGTGTAAATTTGAAATTGTTTTATAATTGTATAGTAAATAATTTCATATATATTTGGTTCACAGCCAAATGTGTTTCTTCTTTAAAATTGATGTAGTTTTATCACAAAATTAAAGAATGTTAAATTGATTGACACCGATTTTGAACACCATGAAAAATCAAAACTGGAAAAATAGCACTTCTCGTTGCATTCGCCGAATGTCTTCTGATAATATTTAACACAATGCTATTAAATTTAAATTCTAAATTCAGAAAAGACATCAATTGAAAATTTATAATTCAAAGTAAAGTGAAAGATGTTTTTATAAGAATGACATCACTTACTTCTCCTGCACCAAGAAATACAAACTTGTTTTCAGACAATTTCTTTCCAGTCATTCTTAGGCTAGCATAAATTCCAGCTAGGGCAACTGATGCCGTTCCTAAAAACAATAACAATTACAGAATTTAAAAAAAATTATTTACATTTATTTATCCAATTTAATTTTAATATTTACGGCTATAACACTTCATTAGTAGGTTTTTATCTGAATAATAACTACCACTCCTTATAAGCACTCGCCTCAATTTATAGTTATTAGCAATGGAATTGACACAAAAACACTAAAAACACTATCAACTGCTTTTATTTCATGAAAAACAAATCCCAGGGAGTCAGTGAAAATTGAAAAAATTTGTAGCAATGAAAATTTCCCTGTGACTCTTGAGTTTGAGTGACTTTCGCAAAACTTTACGAATGCTATCAAATCCTGAATGCACAAAATATAACAGAGATAATTAAACAGTATAAGTACATGTATATCTATTGCTACATGCTAAAACAACTCTGATTATAGGTGCATGTTTTAGAGGCGCTTCCAAATCAGTGCAGAGGGAGCACTGCAATTCAGCGGCGCCACCAAGTGGGGGAAATAGGGTTCTCCCTACCAGGATGTAGAGTTTTTGATAATTCTAAGTTAAAATGGAGCATTCCATGGCTTCCTTGTGGCCAAAATTACTATCAGACAGGTCACAGTTGAAGACTGGCCACATGTGATCCCTGGTCAATCAAAATTTTATGGTTGCCAGAGGATCTGCTCCCCAGGGTAAGGGGGTGCATGACCATGGCATGAGGGTGCTGCGCCCATGTTCCCTTGTTTAAAAAAAATTACTGCAGTGTATGTATTCTACTGACCTAGAATCACACACAGGTTTGTCACCGGGGAGTACGTTTATATCAATTTAGCAAACCCTGCAGTTCAGATGGTTGATTGACATAACAATTATTATTGGCTTACTGTTATAAATGTTACTTATAGTGAAGAGAATCGAATTGAGTGTAAAAATAGTAAATGCGTTAAACCCTTTTAAGTATAAATAAACCTATCTGGTTAACTATTTATAACATATTAATAATTTAGGGTTGACACATCGTGGACCGTGATCACACATTTGTTTTGTACATGCTTGTACTGTTGCACACAATCCTGCATTAACGTATTATGATAGTGGTTCGGTGGTGAACTTCGGGGGAAATAAGACGACTGTTCAGTTTCACTATTAAGTGTTGGACGTACATTGATAAATCCTAATATGGTTGGCCGTATTCTAACTAGCGAATGACTTCACAAATGCGCAATTTTTTTTTTTAATTTCACCCACATATAACTCACATTAATATGTGAAGGGTACTGTAGAGTACTTTATTTTCGCCTGAACTAATTGTCGCTATTAAGAGATGAATCGGTGAAAATAAAATCCAGCAAATATACCATTTTTTTACTATATTTTACATTCAACTTATCAAAAATCAGCTAAAATATCAATACAGCAAAAATGTCATTTCAGTGATAATTAATTCCAGCTAAAGTATTGTACAATATGTAATGCTTAAACCCTTCAAATGTCATGATCTAAACCAACCACAAAACAACATTTTGCAAATTTTCATGTATTCACTATATTTACTTTGTTAATTTTAGAGCAAACATAAATAATTTCATATTTGCTACAGTGTTTGATCAAATATTTTTTTTTTAAATACAGAAAAAATGATGTGCAGTGATTTATTTTATGAAAGTTGACTTTGTTATTCAATGCCAATTTTTTTTACACTCAAAATGGTGTGAGTTTGTTCACATTTTCTGTAAGTTTTACTCAATTTAATCTTAATTTTGAACCAAACAGATCAAATATGACATTGCACCTAGTTTTTGATAAAAAAAATTGGAATTTTCATAAACGTTTTTTTGTGGAAAAAAGCAACTATAAATGGAACTATTTTGTGGAATGGTACCTGAAGTTGTCTTTAGCACCCAAACAGCTAAAGTTTTCTTTGAAATAAATAAACTTACCTTGTATATCATCATTAAATGTACAGTAATCGTCTTTATATTTTTGAAGAAATCGGAATGCATTTTGGTTACCGAAATCTTCAAACTGAATCAAGCAATTATAGCCATATCTGAAATTTGATTGAATGAAATTGAATCAATCATCTGAGAAAACGAGCAATGGTGGTGGCTCCATTTTTCCACTATGGTAGCCTGGAACACCATCATAATTATTATCCCCACCACCAGAGAGATTTGTTCCCACTGTACCATTACAGGATATTATTTATTCATTATTTTTCGTGTGTCCCCTCTTCCCCTTATTACCAGCACACATATACATATAGATAAATTTTTCTACTACTGTACTTGCTCTATTAGAAGCCCATCTCTAATAGAGATGTGCATAGGCATTTGATGTACTGGTATACTGGATCATTAAATATGTGACTTTTTTTTTTACTGTAGACACAAATCTGTCTTCAAATAATCATTAACCTTTCCACAACCTGATTGATTCAAATTTTTTTCACTTTTGACACTTCCTCATATTCTTCAATATTTCTGCTAAAATAAATCCTAATTTTGGAGCCAGCAAACAAAATTTGATTCAATTTTCAGTTTTTACTCAAAAAATTTGGTTATTATTATCCCAATCTTCTGAAGGAAAGTGCAGACTATAGACTATTTTGTGAATTTGTGATGAAAAGAGGGAACTGGTGGAGTAAAGGTTAAGCATCAATAATAGAGCAAATACAATATTCATATTTTGTTTTCATTAGAACACTGCAAAGCACTATGAATACAACTATATATATTAAGCATAATTTTTTTGAGAAGCTCACACAATGCACGAATGTGAAAAAAAACTTGTGTGAATAAATTCTAAATTTACACTAAATACTAGACATATAAGACGTGTATTTTTCATAAAAATTATAAATTATGGATTTCAAAAACTACAAATTAATTAAGTTGTGAATTAATATTCTTTATATCTTTTTTACTGAGGTCCTGAATGCCATATTGGCTTGCGACTTACTTTAACACTGTATGATATGTCCTCTCTGTTCCCCATCTAGCCAATTAAATACAGCACTGTACGCAAAGTTGCAATAATTATTTGTTTGCACAGCCAGGATTCATTTCCCTATACTATTCCTACATGCTAATGCCATTTTAGAAATTTTCGCCTTGCAATTGGGAGCCCAGCTATCAACTGTGTGATCAAGCCCTGTCTATGTATACTTACTTTTTGACAACAGCTTTCATGAACTCGTCTACAAGGTCATCGTACTCTTGAGAGCGAAACCGTTTTATGCGAAGTCCAATGTACATAGGATCATTCAGTAATTTCTAAAAAAAAATATTTATTTATTTTTATTTATAATTTATTTCTCACCTTCATACTATTGTATATTTTTACAGAGTTTAAATTTTACTGTTTCAACATTCGTTGCAGACTTGTACTAATTCGATATTGATGGGTTATTTTGCATTTTCAGCAAAAATAAAAGAATTTTGATTTTATTTGATCCCTAGGAATACAAATATTTCAGAATTCACAAAACATTAATTCATATACTGTCACATACATCCCAGGTTTTCGTGCCCCCTCCCCCTCCTTGTCATGCAACTTTAATTCTGAGGACTTTCCATTTATCCTCAGGGCGGAGTACATCACAGAACGTTCTATGTTGCTAAGACGCGCACCTCTGTGCCATGTATTTCTTTGGGCTCTGCACGAGCTGCTGTGGAACGTGGGTAGAAGAGTCGGTAAAGAAGGCTGAATTTGAGAAAACAACACAAACGCAACTTTGAAGTAATCTTCAACAACAAAATTAATCTATGTTGCACATGTAGGGGTAATCTTATTACACTGTTCAGAGGAGTCTCAACAACCATCCCAAAGTACCGTTTTCTGAGAGTTTTTGTTTTCACCATAATGGTTGCCAGGCGGTGAAAATGCCCGGATGTCTGCCTCAATTAAAGGGTGTCTCACCTCATTATTTGTACCAACATCTAAGCAAACTGGCAGGGTGTGTGAGGGATCCACCCCTGCACATGCAGTATAAAGCGCGAGTTTTCCGACCGGTATTCCCATACCATGCGCTCCTAAGTCTCCAAGTCCCAATATCCTCTCCCCATCAGTCACAACTATCGCCTGTGAAATAAATTGGATTGTTTTACAAATAAATTTGCCCGTGTGTTAAAGTTTCTGATGATCGCGCACCATCTTTGTTTTCTTGTTTTACCAGCATTCAAAAAAATTTTTTTTTTTTATGAAAGATCAAAATTAAAGCATACTTATCCCTAATGATAATTCCAAACTCCAAATAATTTTTTTTCCTGGGTCTAAGACATTTTTGACCAAGTTAAACTGATTATGAACTTCCATGGCAACCGATTGAATTTTAAGGAGCGCAAATACATGTACATGATTCTATGGTATTCATGCATTCACAAAAGTACTGACACTCCATGTCATTAAACCGTGGCTCCAGGTGTATAAAAAGAAAGATGGCCGCCAGTTTTCAGTATGCAAATGACACTCAAGCGCGAAATATCGCTTCGGGGTGCTTCGAAAAATCACTTCAGAGACATTTTCACTGCTACAAAATTTTGCTATTTTCATTGGCTGTGAAAATCCGTCTCTTGCCAAATTAAAGCAGTTTACAGTACTTTCTAATTATGAGATGTTCAATGCTACACCGAAGCCTCGTTAAAATGAACTCCCTGATATAATGAACACACCCAGTGTGTCACATGCTTCATTATAGTGAACACTTCACTATAACAAAATAATTGTATTCCCCTAAAGAGTTGGTTGTAACAAGGTTACAGTGTACCTAGAGTAATTTACAATATATTTGCTATTTTCAATCACTTGAGATATCCAATACTCACTTTAATATTAGGTTCAGGCCAATTTCTTAGGATCTCTGCAATGTGACCTCTGTCATGAATCGTAATAAAAAGTCCACGTGGTCTCCGATATATATGACCATATCTCTGACAAGCTAAACCCACTGTAGGTGTGTATACTATCGGCATCATTTCCTCCAAGTGATCATTTATCACTCTGTAGAACAATTTCTCATTTGTATCCTGTGGAAATAGAAGTATTATCAAGATGGTAAAGAGCGCCGCCACAGGTAATATCAGTAATAAAAACAAAAGAAATATTTGCTATAAAAACAAAGGAATCAGAAGAGAGAAAACATTGATATACTATATGTCATGTTACGAGTCATTTCTAGGGCACTGTGATTAATATATGCCAGCCATTTTAAAGTTTGTAGTTATACTTTACTAGTCAACAGAAGGATGGCGGTTTAAGAGTAGCGCCCTCACACGAAGTGACAAATGTACACTACTGTTTAAGAAAACGTCAAATCCTAGTTAGTATATTAGTAATGCATTTTATGCTTGTGTACTTTGACCTTCGGGGACAAAATCTTTGCACATAATTATTTTATTATCATAATTGGGGCATAAATTTACTGCACATTCCCAAATGAAGCGCACATATGCCAAAAAATGCTTTTATAGTATTGTTACAATATGAACGTCGTGTGAACTTTGACTCGCTTGACTTACACGTAGTGATACCAGGTTCGGCCCAAAGAAATACACACTAGTTCATTATCGATAGTCCAGGTATATTCATCCAAATCGTCAGCTGAGTTAACGCCTGTCTCCTTCTTTACTTCCCCCTTACAAAATCTTACAAACTACCATAAAACTCGAAGGCGTGTCAGAGTAAACATACGATGAGCCAATCACTGCAGCCGTTGGCATGATCACGTGATTGCCAGGGATGTGTCTCGCGAAATTGCCACTACTGAATATAGTTAGTAAACAATCTATTTTTAAATTTCCTGTAATGTATATTTATAATGTCTACCTTAAACGGCATGCAAGCCGCTGATTCCAAATAATGCTGCAACGTCGTGTGAACCAAATGTACGTACATGACGTCGTTATGGTAACAGTATGGTGGGCCAACAAAATATCACTTATTTTAAACATTCGCTACTATTAGAGTTAATATGCTAACTTTTACTTAGAAAATTGGGAAAAGGTAAAAAAACAAAACAAAGCATCTAACCTGTATGTCCATTAAGAAGGAATATTTATGCAAATCATCACACTGCCTATGGTAGTTTTCTATAATTCTTTTAACTTGCATGTCCTGGGAATTAACAGTAGGTGGTAGCAGACCATGAATACCAAGTGTCTGACGCTCTGGGATGGAGAAAGCAATGCCCTGGAAGAAAATTCGCAGAAATCAGCACAACAATCGAAACAATGTTTCTCATAATCTTTAAGTTGTATTGTTGGCAATACTTAGTTGAAATCTCTTTTAATTTGGAGTAAATATTGACACGCTATGGCCATCTGACGCATGCGCAGGTGACGACTCCCCCGCTTTAATCAGTAAATTTGTGTTTCATAAAACAAGTTTTTGACCACTTTTATGTATTCAACTGCCTTACATGTAATTTGTATATCTTTCCACCAAAAAGTCAGTGTGACATTTGGAAGCTCAATAGTTTCTCAGATAATTTTAAAATGAACAGAAATATTTTTTTACTACATGTTTCAATCAAAATAAACTGTTAACTATATATTTAAAAGTCTCAGGCTATAATCAATGGTACTCAACATCCACGCCTAGAAAACAATACTCATTTTGTTTTGCCGGTAACTGAAATACATTGCCAGCACTTATGTTAATCTCACTCAGATCTATCCTTATTTATATTGGTCACCGTATGATAACAGCGCATGCGCATTCGTTGATAATAACAAGTATGACTATGGTCAAAATATGCTATATTACAGTAAATCAACATGCAATAAATGTTTGGTTAATGTGCGCCTCTATTAGAGATGTGCTTTCAATTGAATAAGAGCGAATTTGGTGTTATTTATTCACTTCAAAATGAAAAATACAATCAGGATAAACATGATTTGTGGAAACATCCACCCATCCATCATTTTATTAATAGACAGTTGCACAGAAAACAGTAAACATGTGATTTGCATAGTAATATATGGTAATTTAATGCATTACATGTTTGGTGCAGCGCGCATTGTTAAACATGCACGCTACATTGGACCCATTTCGAACATGATGTAATGAGACAGTGTATTTTAATGAGCTATTTATACATGCAAATTTATTCATACATTTAACAGCATTTTTCTGAGCATAGTACCCAGATCTATTGAAGTGTGTATGTTTCCGAAAAAATCTAAATATATAGTTGACGTATGACCTGTGAATTTATTTATTTTCTTTGGCATATGATTTTACTGTTTGATGTTTTTGAACATTTTCGCTGTAAATACTGATTCAATTCATAATACCGAATTAAAATTACAGTCTTTATAGTGCATATAAACCAAACATTATATGTGTTCTATGTTTGACTTACAAAATACTATTTCTTTTGTCTATTGCATAAGGTCATGCGCTATCATTATAAAGCATATAATTCTACTGATGTCAGTTTTAAATTTGAGATCTTGCAAACATCATGGATAAACAATGTGGACATTAATTTGTAGTGACACATTATGAATATCAGTGCAAGTTTGATTTTCCCACAATCCAACGCGCTTTTCTAGTGAAATCACAAGTGTGAGTTTTGACCTCGGGTCTCTTGCACTAATCACCGCCAGCAACTTGTTCGATACCTTTTAATTACCAACAAAAATACGTAATAAAAGCTTGGTAACCGTTCAGCTTGTACTCGTTAGTGTGCGCAACAGTCAAAGTCGCCATTTTTGTTTATATGTGACCCATATCTTGCGCATGCTTAGCGCGACGACCACCGCCCTTTAAACTAACAAGACAAACCAGGTTGAAAGCCTTGATAGCGCGATTTCACCAGGGCATTGTTAACACACTGCAAGGAAACGAGGGCATGGTGAGAGACGATCATGTTTTACGAGAATATATTGAAAGTAACAACATTCTATAACATTACTATAAAGAGACTACGAAAAACGAAACAATTTGACAACGAAACGAAATCCGTAGTCGTCGCGCGGCGCGTCTTAGAATTTCGTAGGAATGAACAATGTAATTTACACGCGTCGTATACGCCCCAAACCGAACAGGGCGCGGCGCGACGACCATGGCCTTTTAAAGTAATGTGAGTGCACTGCTGGTGTCTAGTCAGCTGGGAACCAAACAATACCACGATCCATCGGTATACAACCACATATCTTCCCATTCATGTCTTACCCGGCAAGGGTCTTACCTTGTTCATCTTGAAATCGGCAAGAACTTCGGGTCCCCATTTTCTGGAACCGATTACTCCAGCTGTCATCGACATGATAACAATATGTACCAGTGAAAGGTTCCGTATTAACAACGGCCTATATATGGCGATACAGTTAAAGCGCAATATGTGTTGCCGTATGCTATAAATAGCATTCCATGATGCGCTAGGTGACCCAACAAAGAACACCTACTCGTAAAACCACAGAGCTTTGTAAACTGATGTTTTTTGTCTGATTATATAGAATCTAAATGAATTTTGCTTTGCCCCCCTTTCTTACATGTAAATAAATGTTTTATTAAACAACATCTAACCATAGACCATAGATTTGTTATCTAACCGTGGAACACCGTCGATCTCATAAAGCCTGAGATAGTTAAACTCCTCCTTGTAGAACGAATTCATAAGAATATAGCGTACATGGTGTTACTCAAAGCATGGAGATACATTTTGTGTTCCCTGCTCAAATAATAATAGAGCGAACGTCGCGGTGTTAGCTAGTGTACAGCGATAAGTTGTGCAATTGTTTTACCAATACAAGTTATTAGGTAAAAATTCAAAAAAAAAATTCTCAGTGTGATAATAAATATGTTGCATATGTTGAGTCAAGTCGTGATAAAAAATAAAATTAATAATAATAAATAGTACTAGATGTGATCTATCACTCTAGTTGTTACCATAACGACAAGCATCATGTACGCGCATTTTGTTCATATGACATTACAGTATCGTTTAGGGTAAACAGCTTGCTTGTTTGGGGTAGAGATTATAAATCTATATTTCAGGAATTGTATAAATAGATTGTTTACTAATTATATCCAGTAGTGGCAACTTTGCAAAGCTTTAACCGTGAGACACGTCGCTGGTAATCACGTGATAGTACCAACGACTGCAGCGATTGGCTGATCGACAGAGTTTTTGTAAACAAAGCATAGACCTTAAAAATACATACGTTAATCGATCAGCGATCGGAAACGAAGTATACATATATGCCACACCCAATTTGTTTTCTTTAAACATTTTGACATTATCGACAAAAATCGTTCTATAAATGTAAGATGCTAAACCATATATACGAGATAGTTTGGTTTCCTGTCCCAACGCTGAGGGCGGTTAACATACGAGCTACAAACATAAAATGAACTGTGATTGCTGAAGTATTTTGATGTTCAGTTATTCTAATTTATTAATTTTATGTTTTCACTTATATCCTTGAATGTACTAATCTCAGTAACTTGCCAATGTACTTTTGAAGTGGTAAAAATAGTTAAACATCAAAACTCATACTTCTGCTTTCCATTAAAGAATTGGATTGTTTATCGACACAAATGTCGCATATGCGCACCGATGCCCTTTAAAGAAAAATTGCATTTTTTTGTGATTTATTAAAACCCATATTTTTTAAATAACCGAGAACAACAAAATATACCCCACCATTCGCAATATAGAATTTTCGTTTTGAGTCATAGGAACCCATGGTGAAAGCACTAAAATACTGCCAAAATGGCCACTATGAACTAAAATAAGGCATCTTTTTCTCGAAAAGCTAGTGACCCCAAACTGTTTTAAAGTCAATATCCAATATTGCCTGGAAGTACAATTTATTGGGAAATAAATATATTCTGGGTATTTGAAATCACGAGTAGGCTTCTACGTTAAAGGGGGAACTAAATAGGGTCTAATTCTTACGTTTTGTATATTGATTATAAATTTGAAAAAAAAAATGATTATCTTCAGAGTTATGATGATTTAAATATGAGAAACCACAAAACTGTGAAGGACTTCCGTCCGCGCCATCTTGCCATAAAAAAACGCCCGCATGAGGCATAAACAAGAAAGGCAACAAAGCATGATGACGAAATACTATCTGATTATATATACTTAGTAAACAACTTGATGAGTTTCGACTTTTACGTTAATGTTATTTACAAGCGTATCAACATGCAAACATTATTGATGTGCGAATGATCGAGACGGGTATTTTGTTTTCTTTTTCTGCCCTTGTGGGTTCTAATAAATGCTGTTTCCAGTACTACTGGACCAAACTACCGTACCAATCACGATTATTATGAACAGAAACACACTTTTTACACGCATGTTTCAAAGAATATCGTCGACGCCCGGTAAAAACACTCTGGGCTTATAATCGCGAATGCCCTCAACTCGAAATTAAAAAAATTGAAAATGAGCAACACTTTTTGTTGTCATGTCAGCTATACGTCAAAAAAGAGAAAGTTTGTTCAAAAGACACAACTTTATTCATGACAACAAAAACAATGAACAGTTATTCATTAATATTTTAAATAATAAAGATGAAAACATTATAAATGATATGGCGAAACACATCTATAGCTGTTTTAATATACGAGAAAATTCAATTAAAAGTGAAATGCTTAAACCACCTGCTTCAGAAAATACCAATTAACCATTTATTCTATTTTGAAATTTGGTCTTGTTTGATTTTTTTTAGCGTTAGCTATTTTTCACATGTTTTTCAGATTGTATTACTTTATTGTACTTTTCGTCAAAACCTCAAATATGGGGTACGATAGCAATAAAGAATATATTATATTCTGTTATATTCTACATGATACCACAGAGCTCCACCAGACGCCAGTGTATGCCATACGGGAAAACTACAGTATGGTGCAGTGGTTTTCGAGGATACTAATGTTCGAACTCGTGCTCAGTGCACTGGAACAGTGTGCGGCGACAATGGGGTGGCGCTGTAACCGTTGAAGTTGAGAAGCGCCACCACGTCGTAGAATTAAAATTTTGCATGTTACCTCCATCGACAAGTTCGCTATCCCGGTGTACTATTACAACACAAACAAGAAAATATTAAAATAATGGATAAGCCACTATTCACACCCCATGTGCGGGTTCGAGAATATATCTCTAGGGTATATATTGAGATCACGGTTACTAGTAACTATTTTTTAGATGGAGACCTGGATTGTTGTGTCACGTTGCGACCATACTCAAAGGGAAATGTGTCTTCAACCTTGACTTGGGCTGGTATTCCTCCAATATGTGTTTTATGTCCCAGCAGGCATTACTAGTGAACAATATACTAGTAAACCAACTGCAAATGTGTACGTTTAATCGGGCCGCTCGATCGAGTCGCACTTTGACGTCAATTGTTCGTTACTATGCCAACCAGCATGCGATTTTCTGAAAACAAACGTCGCTTATTGTTCAAACTAGCTCACGAGTTGTTATGACAACGTTTCCTTGCAAGTTGTTATATTAAAATGAACATAGACATGTATATGTATATGTAAATACAAAGCAACGAGCAACTCTTTATTTCATTTTCGGTTGCGAACATCTGCGCATGCGCATGAAACGTATAAAAGTGCGACGGACATTAGCCACAGTGATCAGATATGTTTCAATCCGATAATGAGAAGGGATGGTCAACATAAATTCAGTTGCAAAACTCTGCAATTGTGGGGATAAAGTAAATACGTACAGTTTCAAAACAGTATGCCCTGAACGCACGGTCTGCACGTTTATGTTATTGATTATCTGCAAGAATCAAGGTGACAATGTGTCCATGTTTAAAACCTCTTTTCATAACACAGAATACATACTAGGAGATTTCTTTATTATTTTCTTTCAATGCGTTTGTCATATTATCATATCGTAGTATAGTTGCACATGTGTGACCGGGGCTTGTTAAGTTAATTATTCAACTGTATAACAGTGTGTATGTCAGTCATACATTTTTTTGCTGCCCGGGGAATTACATGAACGACCTTCAGCACTTACCCGTATTCAACCCCCACTGTATATTAAAGTCTCGGCCATCCGTCAATAGGATCATATACACATATAACGGATATCATGACGTCTTTAAAAGTCCACCTGGTGTTGTCAACTGCACTAGCATTGCTGCCATTTATACTACCGTTGCCGTCGACAACAGTCGCTGTGAAATTCTTTTTGAGCGTTTTCACAGCGGTCCTGACTTGCTCCGTGCTCTCAAACCTTCCAAGGGGGCGTTTACCTATCGCTAACAAGGCCGTGTTAGTGACTGGCTGTGACTCGGGTTTTGGTCTCGCTGCAGCTCAATACCTGCATTCTTTGGGATATTTAGTGTTTGCAGGGTGTCTGTTCAAAGATAAGGGAGGTGAAGGGGCCAGTAAACTGATGCGAATTGATCCAACAAGACTCAAAGTCCTCCAGCTGGACGTAGCATCGGAAGTTCAAGTCAGGGAAGCTGTACACTTTGTGAAGCAACACTTGATCGATAAAAATAAAGGTATCTGCAAGTCATAGATCATACAAATGAATACTATTATAGGATTATCGTGCGAGCGTCCCGTTATCTGTGTTCTCCGTGTTAGCTCGGCAATTAAGCGGCAATATAATACGATGGGAGATTGTTTTCATACCCTTCAGTTTTTGCTCGGTACTGCACACACATGCACATGGGTTATACTTATTATTAATTGATAAAATAATGAATCACGTTATTGTGTATATACGCTAAATCAAGCAAAAGCTTTATTTAAAGCGGGGGGGGGGGGGAGTCGTCACCTGTACATGCGTCAGATGGCTATAGCGTATCATTGTTTACAAACAAGCGTCTACCCATGAGCCTTTGCGTTTTTAGCGTGAGTTGTTATCGTTGCTTGGGACTCAATTCCAACGCGTGCGCAGGTGACGAGCCTCACGCTTTAACTACGTCGTCTTAGCTATTGCTATTCGAATAATATCGCGTTAAATCACATGACACAATTTGATTCAGATCGCAGTGTTGACATTTATTTCTTCCTTCTTCCCCCAGGATTATGGGGGCTGGTGAATAACGCAGGTGTGTCATTTGTAGGTGAGATTGAGTGGTGTACTGTTGAGAAATACAAATGGGTGTGCGAAGTCAACTTGTTTGGTATGATTCGTGTAACCAAAGCATTCTTACCGCTCATCAGGAAAGCCAGAGGTAAGAGGTTAACCTTTATAAACTCGGAGGAGGCTGGTGTCAGAAATGATAAAAAAAAATGTGTAGGAGAAAACCTGTAGAGAAAAATAACAGAAAAATCTGCACAGTGAAAAAAAGTACAGCGAATTCATCATGGATAAAATGACACAAAACTAAGTAAAGGGGAACAATATTTTGCTAAAATGCTGCTAAAATATTAAGTAAAGGTAGGGAATAACACCGTATCGCGCCGGTCACTTGAATCGGTCGTGTAGATGCACAGTTTATTTTTTATTTATATTCGACCGACAAATTATCGGCTTTTTCGGGATGGTCGCGGCTAAACACGATACTTTTTAAGCAAAGAATTTTCATGAAATGTTATCGAATTAAATATTAAATTTAAAAACATAGGGTACCCGAACTTGAATTATCATCCTCATATATAATGCAAGATGGCGGCCAAAGTAGGGTTATTGTTTCCATAGAAACAAGTTGAACTTCATGTATATACTCTTTTTCATTTATTTGATTCTTGATTGTATTCTTTCTCTCGGCAAAATAGTTATTTTAGAATTTCCACATTTATATTAGTAATGTATGTCAACAATCAATATGATGTGTTAATAGGGGGCTATTTTTTACTTTTGACTATGACAGGTCGGATCGTGAATATGTCATCAGGTATTTCGAGACAAGCCATTCCAACCAGATCAGTGTATTGTGTATCCAAATTCGCTGTACAGGGATTCTCCGATTGTCTGCGATACGAAATGGTGCACTGGGGTGTAAAAGTCAGCATCGTTGAACCAGGCAATTTCATCGCAGCCACTGGAATCTTCAACGATGACATCATCGATGGATATGCCAAGGAATTGTGGGAAGGGATGTCAGAAGAAGTGAGGAAAGATTATGGGAAAAGGTACTTTGATGATTCTATCGCGACCATGCGGACATACTCTTCATCCGGGGTACCGACCATGAAACCTGTGATTGACGCTTACGTAGACGCGTTGGTATCCAAGCGACCAAAAATCAGATATTATGCCATGCCTTTGTATTGGCAAGTAAGAAGACTAGTCTTCACGCATCTCCCAGAATGCATTGCGGATGCAATTTACCACGGTATATACTATTCCTGATAAGTTCATCCAATACATTTAACAAATAAAAAAACACCTCCAAAATATAAAAAAAGATCGCTGAATTTATGGATCTTTCACCGAAACAGAGATTGGTTGAAAACAATTTGAGTTGAATGTTAATAGGGATGCACTCATCTACTAGGTTTGGCAAAGGGTATTTTCGTAAGCTGTAATCAATTGTTTTTATTTTCGTAATGATGTAATTTAAATAAATAAAAAACGTAAATTCGTAGACATGGGCAAGGTGTAAATTGTAATCAGCTACTAGTATTTTATTCGTCCGTAATTTGTAGAAAGATATTATTTTTGTAAGTGTATAAAGCATTTCCCAAATTAAATGTCGCAATTTGCTAGCAATTTCCGATTTTGATTCTTAGACTCAAATTATCAAAAATATTATAAAAATGTAAAATGTAATTAGGAATTTGCTTAATCTGCCAGTGTAAAGTGTAAAAACCTATATTTTTTTACCGTAAATGTAATTTTCCTTCCATTTCCTGTAAAAACGTAAAATGCCGTTTTTATTTCCTGTAAAAACGTAAAATATTATGATATAAAAGGTCATTATTTGTCAATTTTTTGAAATGTATTCCATAGGTACATTTCCGCTTTGTATTATATGCAGAACACCTCTCATTGATTAAAGTGATCCCCATGAATAACTGATAAAATATTGGAGCACTTAAAGGGCGATTGTCGTCCCACCGCGCATGTGCGACATTTGTCTTTATAAACATTGATTTTCCCACAACCCTGGAAATCACGAGTGTGAGTTTTAACCTGAGCGCGATCTGCACTAATTACGTGAATCAGACGTGACCCCGGGAAGGCGACGCGATGCAATGCAACATGATGTGATGCAATTCTGTTTGATGGGTTACCATGATGTGATGTGATATGATTGTACGATTTCACGTTATGTATATGCTCTCTGATTCCACTGAACAAAGACAAGTTTGGTAAAAAAAAATGGGTCGTATTACAATCCATCTATGTAGAAGGGTGTGGTTGCATAGGTGATTGCTTCATAATCCACATGGTTGACTCCGAATGGGTTGTGAAGTTTCATGGTTATGAATAACTGCTCTCAATGAAGACAACTCATGGTAGAGGGCTAACATGTGATGACATTCCCACTCACCATTCTGTTTATCAACAAGAGTAATGTAGAGGTTAATTTGTGAGAATAGTGCCATACAAAGATGTTTTTTACGTCAGGATAGTAGTTTGAGCACATACTAAACGTAAATTCAATGAAGTGTTTAATTAATATGGTGACCCCACACCCTAGCGGCGTTTGCGTGTGGGTGTGAACACAACTATATTAATTTAGTGTGGCAACTTTTTTATGTTGCCATAAAATTATTACGCTTGCTCAGTGAAAAGAAGAGAGAAATCCGTGGATGGGTTTCGGCCGAATATATTGACCTGATTTCAAATAATAGCTGTGCAAAAATGGAGACTAAAACTTGAAAATGGGTGATCAAGGGATCATGTGGGCACAAGGCAGTTTAAAATCGAAGTATTATGAAAAACAATCGCTTTGATGCTTATATGAACAACTTGAACATGCACTGGATTGTGCCAAGAAGATATAGGAAGAAGTGTTTGGTATGTTTTTGAATAGACTGTATGAAACGTTACCTTATACTGTCGTTAGTTATTTGTGGGTAAGATTCAATTTATTGGTGTCATTTTATTATTACTATTATTTATATATAAAACCCTTCTGGCTTGAAAAAACATACACAAAAAATATAATCAACGGTGTTTTCTAGCAACATGGAATTATCACACAAATTCGAAAAGTAATCATAAAATGAATCCGTAGAATGTTCCACTTTAATAAATAATTAGTTTTTAAAACATCAGACTTCAGTGTTTACCTCAAATAATGTTTTTGTTGTAGTAACCCCTTTGTGGACTAACCCTTCTGCCGCGCGCATTTATTGGAATAAACGAGTTATTATTAGCTATCAGTAGAGAGGGCGCTATCCCCACCAGGATAGATAACTGCAGTGGAAGAGCCGGCAACCCTGGTAGCTGTTAAAAAACAAGTTCGTTACAGTACACCGTGTCACAGTCCATCTATAAAGATGAATGTAGAAACTGTGTTCAAACTCATGCTAAACAAAAATTAGTGAAACCACACTTAATTAATTTTAGAGACAATCGCATTATTATCCAACCCTTGACAATATTGCCACGTTCTGTACTAAACTGCGATCATTGGGGTAAATACTGTAATCATGGAGCTAATGTGCAATATGGAGCTTAATATTTCTACTGTGTTTGCAATGCCACTAAATACTTTATATTAAAGTAAATTGAAAATAAAGTTGAATTCATATTTTGTATTATGATCATTGAGTAATACTCTGCGCTTAGCTTCTCCATTAGTACAGGGAGTGACAGCGAATGATGTATGACGTCACGAGAACAGGACACTGCTAAAGAAATGTGACGTAATTGTGTACAATGAAATTACTCAGTCTGTTCAACCTATAACCTACTGTAAAATGACTAATTTTCACTGGGTTTAAATTTCACTGATTTACCATTTCAGGCATATTCAGTGGGTTTTAAATTCACGGTTTCGTCATTTAGATAATGTGTTCTATGCTAAATTTTACATATTCACTGTGTTTTAATTTAGCGCATTTTTCCAGTCAGCGAAATAAGCTAAATTAAAACACAGTGAATAATTACCCCCTTTACAGTATTTAACCAACGATATCCACACGTACAAGTGAACCACGCATGGCATTCACGTATTTGCATAAATTAATATAAATTATACATTTGAGTACTATATATATATATGTAGACGGATCAGATATGATGGGCATTTTGTTAATATCGTGTGCAAATAAATGACATTCTCTTTTAAAAATCACGCAAAAACTACTGCAAATTAACACCAGCAGTCGAGATCTGTAGCTGGAAAAACGCAACAGTCGCCACACCGAGCTCTGTTCGATCTTAGACCATTATATTTGATTCGACACACGGGTACTCGAATGGTAGGGCTTGAGTACGATTGACAAGGCGTCGGTCTATATGGTCCTTGGTGCATTTTTTCAGTCGGCCCACTAAAAAAGAAAGAAAGAAGGAAATAATTATGGGCCAGTCTATAGTCTTCTGGTGAAATACACGTCACGATTAAAGCAATGGTGTAATTACCCACAATCCTAAGCGTTTTGTAACATCAGGATATTTCTAACATTATTACACATCGTTCATAAATGGAACGTTCCATTTAAAACTTCCGCGGGGGGGGGGGGTACTAGTCTGAATAATTCCCAAGGTGCTGCATATTTGTGCCACCTTTATAGGTTTGTGGTAAATTTTGAGGCTCCCTCTAATGCATGAAAATTCACCAGATATATCAACACATTTTTCCTCATGACAGAATAGAAGTTGCATGTAATTATCAAACTAATGTTTTCAAAATTAAAGGGACTGTAGTTTAAAATAATTTATCACCTTCGTGACACAGCCTTGAATTGTTATGCGACCAAATCGCATTTTGTTTATTGGTTATTGAAATTCATGCGTATGTTGTTAGGTTTATGGAAAATAGAAATATATAATGTAGACTCTCGTTCAACAGTGTATTATCAAGGCACCGTAACATACAAAAGTGCCAAGTATAAGAAAATCGAAACAGGTATACTATGATGATACAGACTGCTACATACACGCGTATTTAAACAAAAAAACGCCAGACTATAGTTTGAGGGTAATATCATGACAAATCTGACAAGCCATCGTCGCACTTCAGAAAGTGATAAAAGATAGCGACTATGACAGTGGCCATGAAAAAGAAGTTCTTTGAGTAACTGTCAATAAAAGTAACTTTCAGTTAAAATAGCGAAAAACGACCGTAAACTTGAAGTCTAGGTCATTAATGATGACGGGATTGCCACACATTTTGTAAGGTGTGCTCATCGTTCAAAACACACTTATTCTCTTGATATCATCCGGATTCCATTTTCACCGAATATTGTTGTTCAATAAGATAAAATAAATATTCTAACATTACGCTTGTTATTTAAAGCGGGGGAGTCGTCATATGCGCATGCGTCAGGTGGCCATAGGGTGTCATTGTTTACAAACAAGCGTCTACCCATGAGCCTTTGCGTTTTAGAGTGTGTTGTTATCGTCGCTTGGGACTCAATTCCCACGCGTGCGCAGACGACGACCCCCACGCTTTAAAACTGTTAATCATATTAAGGTAGCAGGACAGTATTCTGGGGTCGTTCTTGTGTTTTATTTCATTTTTAAATGAAGTAATAAAATTAACAAAATGTAATATATATTTTGTTAAAATTATTTTACCCTATGGAAAAAGGCATGTTTTCCTCCTCTTTTAACAAATATGATAATTTAAATTTGGACTGAGTCAGAAAAACAAAACAATCATTTTAGTATAATAGACTTTCTATTTACATGCTAAATTTTGTATTGATAAATAAATACTCATCGTCAAGTGATTTGCTGATATTTTCCCCAGCCCTCCGGAAAGATATAAATGGAGAGTCCCTGAAAATGTCCGAATAGTTTTCTTACTGAATAATGAATAGGTTGATGTTCGGTGTATTATCACATTTAGTTAACAATATCAATCGTGCAGAATCATGGGTAATTATAGGACATTGAACTGTACATGACTCCTCTCAGGTACGTAAATGACCATTGCACCCATGATCGTCACGTGACTGAGTAAAACTCATCGTGCGCAAAACACCTGCGCATCGTACGCGATTTTGAAAGTAAATGAACAACATGGCGGACGCGCTTGTGATGATGACTGGTGGGGTCCGTGGTTTTTACCGGAAACTATTGTCCTGCATGTGCCTTGTACTCTACTTTGTCCAATATAGCACCGTCGCTGTGAATGCTGAATGTAAAATCGGTGGATTTGACCTAGAAACACTGAATCAGTGGTAAGTAACGATGAATAACAACTACGCGAGCATCAGCTGATCAATAAGAGTGAGGGGGGGCGTATTTCTGTCGTGTAAATGCAGGGCAACATACATGTAGTTTGATACACCTACAATGAGTGTATCTGTTTGGACATAACATTAATAATAAATGGGTAATAATATACAGCGTGGAATACACTGACGTTGCTTTTTAAAATGCTGTATCAGGAACAAATCAGGAGCAAATCAGGAACTATAGCTGTTTACACAGAGTCAATATATTGCATCGTGCCGTTCAGCTTGCCATGTGTCGCCATATACTAGGAAGGATAATAACAACGTGCGACGTCACCCCATCTGTGCCAGACATATATACAATACACATGTATAATATATAGTCGAGCGAAAAACAATAAATTTAATGATTAATAAGTGTTATGAATAATAATAATATTTCTCGGTTCTTTTCTGTGACGCACTGGGGTGGGGGTACTGACCACAGTCATTTCAGGACTGAAAATCCGAATAATTACTAAATTACCGTAGATTATTAATATAGTATGTTCTATACCAAGAACCTGTTCTCTATCAAATGTATAACTGTACAATACATGTATTATTGTTGATTCGATTGACAGTACATTTTCAACTTTGTTGTGGTAGTATGGCTTGTATGAAGCATTCATTCAGTGGAACATTAACTTGTGAAATTTTGCTGAAAATTGTTTAGTTGTACTTTAAATTGGTGAAAGTGCAGACGTGTTTATAGTAGACGTGTTTTATGGTATACCAGTTTTGTTGCAGTGAATTGAATGCTTTATCAGTGTTTGATTGAAAGGCATTTGTAAAAATGTAAATTTGGGCATCAGGGCATCCACTAAAAAACCACCAGTGTGCCCTCTAATCAGACACACCATCGACACATGCAGATTTACTGATTTTTTTGCTGATGAAATATAAAGTCACGTTGTCATGTAAAAAACATAAACATGGTTGTGTTGATTTTCTTTGCTGCATCAATTTATTAACTATCGTGATTTCTCATTGGGTAATGTAAACTCCCACATCTTAGATAGAAAACGACGTGGCTTTAATACTGTGGCTGTAAAAAAGTTTCATTCTTGGTGAAATTAAAATTCAGAAATCCAATTGACAGAAGAAATATATTGTCGTTATTTCACAAGCCCTGAGAGTGAATTTTCTTCAAATATTTGTGTCATGTTTGTTTTGGGTTCGGGAGACACTTACTTTAAGTATATACTTTTACATGTATGATACACGCTGTTGCTTTTTCCCACAATGCACTAAATCCACTGTATTGTGTTTCCTTCCAGGACGTGGGAAGTGCGAGCCGCTGATTGGAATAATATAGTTTCCATTTATCATATAAATATATGCAAGAAATTTGGAACCACAGAAAGCACTGCAGGTTGCCAAGACAGCATCGTATGTGAAGAAAAGGACAATGTGTTCACGAACATTGGCAATTACACTGAGACTTTAGCAAATTCTATCGAGAGCTCTGGTGGGCTGAGAGTTGACTATAAAGGGATTGTATGCCCTATAAAGGTTGTCACAGGTGGGATATATACAGGTCCTGAAGATGAACCGGAAGATGAAATAGAGTATTTACAAACAACAATAAATTTCAGATGTGGAAAAACTTTGGTGAGTTTGAAAGTTTGAATGAAGTTACTGCAATGATATCTACAGATCGGCTACCCAGCCCTAACACTTAACAATCAGAGAGCAGCAGCTTCTGTGTTGTACATATGCTTTGACTCAAAGGCCTTTCATACACATGTAGTTCATGTAAACAGACAATGTATCATATACACATTGGATACATAACTTGGCTCTGATATTGAACATGAATGTGCACCGGTCACTGGTAGCATAGTGGTTGTCGCATCAGACATAGACTGAACATCAAAAGGGTCGACCCCTACCCTGGGTGAGTGTGCCACAGACTCAATGGGAAGGCTAATTCCACTGGCCGAGATTGATTCACTAACGAATGTGACTTTGGGGGAACCTTGGTGAAGGTCCGCAGGTGCTTGTGTTCGACCGAGCCTGGTTGATGCCAGGATAACGCATTAAATTGCCATTTGATAGGGAATTGGCCGCACAACCCTGTCATGTATTCCCAAACATGAATATGACTTCTTTGGCAAAATGCACACTAGCACTTGCAATTTGCACATACAAAAAAGTCAGGAGAGACAACAGTGACATATCCGGAACTGTCGGTTGACAGGTTGAAATTATTTATGATAATGACTTTAAAAATAATACCAGGTAATTATTAAGAAAATCCACTATTTTCAGTACTCTGACACCTCTACCCTGGCTCTGCATTCATTGATTGATTGAATTATTAAGTACTTACGTGTGAATGGTGTACGAAGTGTACGAGACATCATTTTGAATTGATTGAGTCATTGACTTTACTGAAATACATCTATTACTGTGAAATACTTATTCACTTGAAATCTATTTTTATTGTTTTCGCTGGAGAAATGATTCAGTGAAAATAAATAACATATTTCCTATACTTTACTTTCAACTCATCAAAAATCAGTGAAAATAAATTCCATACAAAACACCCAAAATGTCATTTCAGTAAATAGTAATTCCTCCTAAAGTGAGGTATTTAACAGTACCCCAATCAAGGATAATTAGCTAATCCCTTGCAAACATGGTTGCTACAACAAAATTGCGAAAATGTGTCGCAGGAGCCGTTTCCAAAATACACACTGAGTGTACATTCAAATTAGCTTTATTGTAATGATTTGCTGTGAAGCATTATCTCTTGTAACCCCGTGTATCTGTGGAAAATTTTTTCATCTTTCCCAGATTGTGTAACTGACAGAGATCTTAAAGAAGCTGGCCAATAAAATTTTATTTGTCCTCAGTTTTATGTATAGTAGGACAAAAGATATTTTTATTTCTCTAATTTTTGGATCACAGAATTCACGTTTCATGGAATTAACTTTATTTATGATATATCTTACTAATCCAAGCACTAAATCACACAATGATATTTGTGAATGTAAATTACAAACTTGTGGTATTCCTTGAGTTTGTAAAGGAGTGATCTTGAGTGACTGTAATTTGTATAATTATTTCACAGGGTTCACCAGAGTTTGTTGGAAAATTTGGATGCACATATTTTTTTGACTGGTATACCTCAGCTGTCTGCAAAAGCTTATCTACTGAAGCCAAGTCTGAGGTACCCTGCTATGTATACGACGCAAATAACAAAAAACGTGACTTGAATCCCCTTATCAAGACGACAGGTGGTTATCTCATAGACACAGAGGGCGAAGAGAGTTTTTTTATTAATGTATGTCGAGATATTAATCCACAAACTGGTGAGTAGTGTGCAGTATTTTTTTGTTTTTTAGATTAAAACAGCTGTAGGTATTAAAAAAATGTTAAAAATGAATTATCTAAGTTTACTGCAAACTGGAAAAACAATTTGATGTTGCACTGTGTATTATTTTAAAATCTGTATTAGAAGTCAAGGCTTCTATTAAAATAGTACAATGTAACAGGAATACAGCTTCTATTAGTGGCTCTAAACATATGGGAAATGATGAATTTTTGGTTCTCAATTGTTCAAAAAGAATATCAGAGATGCAGCTTCAAATGTAGATTTTACGATACAGTTTTTTATACTGTATTTTCACCAAACAAAGCAAATTAAGTTGATTTATTATAGTGGACACTGAAATAAACTGATAAGGAAAACTGCTACCTTCTGATCCATCTCTCTTACAATACCGAAATATTTCAAGAAACATGTCACCAGTGTTTGTTATGACCTTGACAGGGATTTTTCTAGAAAAAAACTGCAAGAGGGAGCACTGCAATTCAGCGGCGCCACTAAGTGGGGGAGATAGGATTCTCCCTACCAGGGTGTGGAGTTTTTGATAATTCTAAGTTAAAATGGAGCATTCTATGGCTTCCTTGGGGCCAAAATTACTGTCAGACAGGTCACAGTCTTCAACACATGTGATACCCTGGTCAATCACGTTTATGGTTGCCAGAACATGTGCTCCCCAGGGTGAGGGTGCGCCATGACATGAGGGCGCTGCGCCCCTGTTCCCTTGTTTAAAAAAATCTTTGCTTGACCATTGGAAAGTATGAAGAAC